TACTCACCGAAGCATCCATGTCCGGTGAGTACCTGCGTCGTCCGGAAGGATAGCTCTCCGCGGGCCCTGTCTACCCATTCTTGTAGACAGGGCCGGATGGCCTCGGTGACCCTCGTTCCTGAGTGGCCCGTCGCCTCCTCCAGGTGGATGCTCCACCTTAGGAGGAGGCGTTGACGGGCCTGCAGTTTTGCCATACCTATGGCCCTGGCCAGATGTTCGAGGTCTCCCCCGGCACGGAGCTTCTTGACACGCCGATAAGCCTCGGCGTGCATTTGTGCAAGGAGCTCCAGCGGGGGGGAGATCGGCCAGGGCCGTGGCGGCCATATGCGACGTCGTCCTATAGGCCCGGGCGAGGCGATTGGCGACCCACCGCTGAACGCGGTGAGCCAGCGCAATTATGCGCTGGTTGGTCGCCATCGCACTCGCCCAGGCCGGGGCCCCATATAGGGCCATGGACTGGACGACGCCGGCATACGGCCGCCTTGCCTTCCTTTTAGAGCCGCCGAGATTGGGCAGGAGGCCACCCAACATATTGACCACTCTGCCCAACTTGGGGGCCAGAAGCTCGAAATGCTTCTGAAACCCCCATGTACCATCCAAGACGAGTCCCAGATATTTTATCGTGGGACCCGCCTTCACGGAGACACCGTCGATCCGGACTCGGGCCCCAGGTGGTCCCCTCCTAGAGCTGTCATGTATGAACATGAGCTCAGATTTGAGGGGAGCCACTTTGAGGCCCATCCTGTTCAGGGAGCCTATCACCTGGTCCACCGCCAGACGTCCCTTTTCCAGGCGCTCCGCCAGTCCCTGCCCCCGGCTAGCACCATGGTGTCGTCCGCGTAACAAACGACGGTGCAGCCGGGGGGGGGGAGGGTAAGGCGGAGGACTTGGTCGTACGCGATGTTCCATAGTAGGGGTCCTAGTACGGACCCCTGAGAAACACCGCGGTAGACCGCCCTTCCGCACTGGAGTTCCGCTTTTTTGCGGAACTCCAGTCTTCTATCCCGGAAGTAGTCCCTAATAATTGAGCCCAGGGGGGA